ACCTCTATTCCGGGGGGGTTGGGGGGGGTGGATGCTCCTGGAGAAACACACCAGACCTGCCAGAAAGGGCGGTGCGATGATGTGGGAAATTGCAGCTTTTGGAATTAGGAGATCTGCCTCTGAGGCCAGTCTCTGCCACTTACGTTTTTGTTTGTCTGTTCTTTTTTATAGTCATTCTATCCATTTATTACTCATGCTGACCTCTGTTTCCCAAAGAATCTGTGATCCTTGTATGCAAAGAGGTTAAATAGAAGCAGGGAAAGGCAACTAAAGGAAAGCAGAAAGCAAATACATTAGTTTCTAATAAGGTTGCCATAACTGCACACTGATTATTGTGCTGGGCTTCCCAGCAGCCTAGCAGAAAAGGGAAACATAATGAGCTGCTCAACCACCGAGAGACTGTGGCTTCCAAGGGAAAATGCTTTTTGTAGGGTTTTTTTTTTAATTTCTGAGCATAAATTGTTAAAGGATCTGGCCTGAGAAGAAATATAGATGGTCAACAAGCACATGAAAAGATGCTCAACGTCACTTCTCATCAGGGGAATGCAAAGCAAAACTACAATGAGATGTCATCTCACATCTGTCAGAATGGCGAAATCAAAAACACAGGAAACAACAAGTGTTGGTGAGGATGTGGAGGAAAAGGAACCCTCGTGCTCTTTTGATGGGAATGTAAACTGGTGCAGCCGCTGTGGAAAACAGTATGAAAGTTCCTCAAAAAGTTAAAAATACAGGGGTGCCTTTATAGCTCAGTCAGTTAAGCCTCTGATTCTTGGTTTCAACTCAGGTCATGAACTCATGGGTTTTGAGATCGAGCCCTGAGTTGGGCTCTGTGCGAATGGCTCGGAGCCTGCTTGGAATTCTCTCTCCCTCTCTCTCAGCCCATCCCTGGCTCTCTCCCTCCCTCCCTTTCTCTCTCTTTCTCTTTCTCAAAATGAATAAATAAACTTTAAAAAAGTTAAAAATACAACTACCCTACCATACCATCCAATAATCACCCAACTGAGTATTCCAAAATTACATAAACAGTAATTCAAAGGGATACATGCACCTCTATGTTTATTGCAATATTATTTACAATAGCCAAGACAGGGCAGCAGTCTAAGTATCCACTGACTGATGAATGGATAAAGAAGAATATATATATATACCCAACGGAATATTAGTCAGCCGTGTAAATTCAGCCACATGATTTCTCTCATACGTGGGATTTAAGAAACAAAACAAATGAACAAAGGAAAAAGAGACAGACTAAAACACAGACTCTGTTTTTAATACTTATTTTTGAGAGAGAAATAGAGCACAAGCAGGGGAGGGGCAGAGAGGCAGATCCAAAATAGGCTCCCCGATTTTGCGGGACCTGAATTCACAAACCATGAGATCATGACCTGAGCCAAAGTTGGGTGCTCAACCGACTGAGCCACCGGGTCCCAGACGCCCCAAACAGACTCTTAACTATAGAGAACAAACTGATGATCACCACAGGGGAGGTTGGTGGGGGGTAGGGGAGTTAACGTGAAGGGGATTAAAAGTACATTTACCATGATGAGCACCAAGTAATGTATGGAATTACCGAATCACCATATTATTCACTTGAAAGTAACAGAGCGCTGTATGTTAACTACACTGGATTAAAAAAAAAACTTAATAAAAAAAAGATCTGACCTGAAACATTTTCTATTGATAAACATATTGGATAAAGCCCTGGACAGTGATGTTTATATCATCCATAACTGTGCTGGTCCAAATTCTTGGATGTTTTCTGTTAAGCTTTTGTCAAATGATATGTACAAGTCCACACCCAGGTTAGCTATAAATCTTAAATGAAATGATACCTAAGATGGCACTTGATCTATAGTAAATTCGCAATTACAAGGGTGAAGTATGAACATTTTTTCATATTTTATTAGTGACATGAAGTTGGGGGAGGACTCAGAGCTTTACCGAAACTCCTGACTTTGCTTCTTCCTCTACCAGGTACGGTAGGGTACCTCTCCTATCAAAACACAATCCCAGGAGGTGACATACCTTTCTGAACAAGGAACAGGGGCTTAAAAAGGCCATTCGACTCCTCAGGGGCTAAGTCCCTATGTCAATTTCACTTGTTTGCCTCTCCCCCAAGAAAGAAGCTCTCAGGGCTCTTTTGCAAGGCAGTCAGTCTGTGCATCGCCTAGTTTCAATGGAATTAATGGCAACGCATTTCTAGAGGTTGAAAAAGGAACAAGAGTGGCCCTGAGCACAGTCTTGCAGCTGTAAGCCTTTCTGGTACATTCTCCAGCCCCTTCAGTTTTCCTGGACCTGAGCCTCGGCCATGTAATCCACTGCAAGGCTCTCACCCACGGCAAATTGCTGGGCTTTCACACCACACCCTTCAGTGAGGACTCCGGCCAGGACCTAGACCGAGTTCAGCTGGTAATTGCACTACAAATTGCTGGGAGTGTAGAAGCTCCTGGGGACTGACTTGGCTTCACCACCCCTGCACCTCCGCTGGGCTGGTCAGAATCTGCCTGATGGGCAGCTGGAAAGGAGGCTGAAAGGCGCTGGGCTGTGGGGTGGGTGTTAAAAAAACAGTCTTACTTGTTATTGGGAAATCTGTGATTCATGCTCATAAACAGGTGTGTGTGCGAGGGAGTGACAGAGGCAAAAAATGGCTCTGACTTTACCTGCCGGGAGGACGATGCAGGAGGGGTAGGCACCCGGCTCCCCTCCCCGCCTGCAGAGATCCCCTGTCACAGCCATTGTGAGTGGAGGCCAGTGACTCCTGGCCTTTTGCAATTTACAAAGGTCTCTCCCAGGCTTCCCCTAGAGGTCTGCCCCAGGGTCAAAAGTTAACAATTACACTTTGACTTTGCCTTGAATTTTAAATGGAGGTCAAGTAAATGCTGGTTGAGCAAAGCAGTCTCCTGCTTCGGAAACAGCAGTTCTGAGGCTCTGCCGGCCTGAACCCCTGCATGGAGGTTGATGTGGACAAATAAAGGGCAGAGAGATCGTCTCTCTATTCCAGATCTGCAATCTGGAACGCTCAGGGATTCAGTCCCGGAAGGAAATGAGTAATATCCCTGATTTAGGGATTAGCATATTATTAAAATCGCTACCATGAAGAAGCCTCAGTTACAACGTGGCTCCGGGGTCAGACAGAGGTGCATGGGGTCCCCTGGCACCAGCTGGCTCCGCTAACTTGCTATATGGCTTCTGGCAACTTAACTAACCTCCTCTGAGCCTCAGTTTCCTTCTCTGTACCAGAAGAATTATAATAACCTCCTCACAAGGTCATCATAAAAATTAATGACATCATTTTTTTAGTTGCTTAACTAAGAGCCTGGCTCAGTAAGTGGCAGCTGCTTGTTAAGCATCCATGATGTTTATGTGTTTTTCAAACAGCATCTCAAACACCCATTTTGTTTCCCAGCGATTGCCTTCAACCCGCTCTTCTGTGTCTCTTTGTAAAGCTGCGCTGATATGTGGGTCAGATCAGAGAACTTCATTCACCACCAGCTATCAATATGGTGCCATCCCAGGAAGTAAAGTCTCACCCTGTGCAGTGTAAGGTTGCCATCTCCTACCCTCCCCCCATGTGGTTTTCGTTTTCTTCAGTGAGATGTGCTCTGCTATTTCCCTCGGCTTCCCCTGCCTCTTCATCATCTAGCAACTTTGGAAGGACAGAGAGCCTTTCCCAAGAATTTCCTGAAACAATGTTAGTATTCCATGGGTCTATAGTCTTCTGCAGTCAAACACTCGGCCAGGAGATATCTGGTTCCTTAGTCTTTCAAATACCTCTACTTCTTTTTTAGTGTTTATTTTATTTTTTATTAAAATTGTTTTAACATTTATTATTTATTTTTGAGACAGAGAGACAGAGTGTGAGCAGAGGAGGGTTAGAGAGAGAGGGAAAGAGAGACAGAGAATCTGAGGTAGCTCCAGGCTCTGAGCTGTCAGCACAGCGCCCGACGCAGGGCTCGAGCCCACAAATGGTGAGATCATGACCTAAGCTGAAGTTGGATGCTCAAGTGACTGACCGCCCAGTCGCCCCTAATGTTTATTTTATTTTTGAGAGTGAGAGAGAGAGAGCAAGTGAGAGAAGGGCAGAGAGAGAGAGAGAGAGAGAGGCAGAGAATCTGAAACATTGAGAACTCTGCATTGAGAGCACAGAGCGCAACGTGGACTTATGCACTGTGAGATCATGACCTGAGCCCAAGTCAGATGCTTAACCAACTGAGCCGCCCAGGGGCTCCCAAATACCTCTACTTTTTAATCCTTCCTTGACTCGGGGTGGAGAAACCCCATTTCTCCTCAGGAAAACTATGGCCAACTACTTAGGGTCCCAAGAACTTTGTACTCCAGAGGTGTCTTGCCCAGGCCGCCATGGAGGCGGGTGGTAGTGGGGGTGGGCAGGCCCAATGGGCCCTCAGCCAGGACTTTGTGGTCCACTGGTGAGGGCCCTTGGAAGACCCTCCAACACCCTAGCAGTTCTCAAACCAGAGCATGCTTCCGGTGGTGGGCTGATCCAAACAGAGGTACTGAGCTCTATCCCCAAAGCTTCTGAGTCAAGCTAGGAAACTGAGAATCTGCACTCACAACAAATTCTAGGTGTGGCTGAGGTTGACGGTATCAAGACTCACTCTGAGAACCACTATCCCAGAAAATATGAATTTCTTGTGATCGTGAGAAATTTGAATTTTGTAGAGGTTAAAATATTTGTCTAGATTTGAACAATGAATAACTGGACAGTGAGGTCTACATGCAGATTGGCCGGGCTTGAGACCCCTGACCTTTCTGCTCTCCTGTGTGCTGTCATGGGTGAAGAGGGATTCCAGCAGGAGACAAAATAAAACTCACTTTCCCAGGCTGTAGAGACTGCATGTGGGTGAATCCGATTCCTTCCCCAGACCCTGCACCCTTCCCACAATTGGTTGATTAAGGGTGGCACCTCACCACACTGGGAAACTTCTGTTGCTCCCTCGGGAATTGTGTAGATTGGGATGGAAAGACCTCTTTTGTACCTGGACTGGAACATGGAAAATTCAGGAACGCTTGGCCATCCTTTTCTGTCCTGTGGATATATGTGCAGAGGCCTCTATAGCAGAGAAGCATGACTCAGTACTGTGGGGAAAAAGCACAAAACCATGAAGGGCCCACCGCATATACCCCCCCACCCCCTGATCCAGTCCTGGGTCCAATCTATAGGCATGTCACCTCTCCACTCTTGGTTACTATGAAACGGCCTAATGACCTTCTACTAACCTCTTTCCCCCACTGACTGCCCCCCCCCCATGCTTTCACTCTTTCTTTTAAGCTGCTTGAAGTAGGTCTTCTGTTACTTAAGCCAATTGCTTCTTTATAAAATATATTGTGCACATACTCTACAAATCTTTCAAGATTGGCATTCTGTTTAAAGGACCCATCATCTCACAGCACAGTCATAATGACCACTTTATTGGTCATTTCTGGCAGAGAGGATCATGGTAGCCGTGATGTGTGCCAACGCCTCCATTTTTATTTCTTTTTTGGCCTCTCCTCTTTGGAAAGAGTGAGGAGCGTGTGTAAGTATGTACGTGGGAGAGAGCGGGAAGGTTCTTCAATGTTGTGCACACAGACATAGCCCAATCTTTGATCTGTGCCTTCCTCCGAGCCAGGCCCCCTGAGCTCCCCTCCACGTTGCCCCAGACGACAGTGCACACAACATTCTGCCCTTGGGAGTCCTCTCTGGGCTTGTGAGCACAGAGCACCATGAGGAGAGTCTGTTTCCCTATACTCCCAAAGTGAGTTTCTCCCCAAGAAAGGCCAAAATAACACCATCAATCAAGCAGGCTTGTTGTTCTTTTTCAAAAGCTCACGTCCACGGAGTTGGGATTAGCACTGGGTTACTGCCCCACGCAGAGCCACCCACATAGTGTTCATCGGGCCCCCTGGCTGTTCAGGAAGCCGTGACTCAGCTGGAGAAGCCAACTGAGTTGTGAGGTCTTTTAAGGGTAATTTAGCTGCATGGAGAAGTGCTGATTTATTCTTTTTTCCTCCCCCAGATAGTAGACACTGACCCTCAGTGTCCCTGGCCTGGTGACAGGGCTGTGGGCACACTGACATTCCCCCACCCTTTCTCCGGGCTGTGCCTGAGACATCTTTGTCCACAGCTTCTGAACTCAGCTGTGTGAGTGCCTCTTTACTTCTCTGTTGATTCTCTTCCAGTCTAGCTCATGCTGCCTACGAGGAGAACCAGGAATATGCAAGTCCAAACAGAAGCAGGTCAAGTTTAGATCGGAGTGGGGGTGGGGTGAGGGTGGGGGTGGGGAAGGGGAGAATGGCCTGGCTAACCTGCAGCAGGAACGTGGTGGTATGGTTTTTTGCATGAGCCCAGAATTCTCTCCCCTGCTGGTGTGCACTACAGCCCACAGTGTAGACGCAGGGTTGGAACTAGCATGAGGCAAGTGAGGTGCCCTGAGTGCATAATTTAGGGGGACACTCACTGTCAAGTGTGCAAGTGTGGATGCCTCACCCGCTCCATTCCAGTCATCTTGATTAGTTAGTAAGTGAACACCCTGATTAGTTTCCCAAGTGAACAATACTCCTTCAAGGTGCTCCAGGCCAAAAGCAAACAAACAAACAAACAAAAAGTGGATCCTTTCAGCAAATAAATGTAAGACTTTTTGCATAATTAACACAGTTAAGAAACTTACTTGGCAAATTTGTGTAGAAAAACTCTTGTGAATAAAAAAAATCAGCTTCACTTTGCCTAGCCCTGCATTTTCCAACGTTTTTTTTTTTGCTGACTTTTTTGTTGTTTTTCAAGGAATTTGTGTCTGCATCCCATAAATACTTTCTGGAAAGTGCTAGCTTTCGGTTAAGTTAATGGGACTCTGGGAATCTCATACAGATGCTTCCTAGAGTCTAATTGCCATCAATCTTGAATAATTCCTCACTTCAACCCTCTATGAAATAATTGAATTTCCTCCAAAAGTCTGAGGTCAAAAATCCCAACTTCCTAGGTACTTTCATACCACCAGAACTAGCATATTTCTGTAACTCTCCTTGTAGGCATCTGTATGTAATTAGCATTTATCCCCACCAGTTCCAGCCATGCTGAAGAACTCCAGATTCGCCCCAAAGTCAGTTCTCACTCTTGCTCTGATCAGCATTTTTATCCACAATGAAACAAAGAAGTTGACTTCGTGTCGAGCAAACTTGCAAATGACATGAAGTACGGAGAAATTAAACACCTCCCTTATTTGATAGCTGCTTATACTCCTATTAGATGGAAGAATAGCTGGATCCTATAGGTGAAATTCAACTGTAATAAACAAAGTTGTGCAATCGCTCCCAAAACCAGCAAAAGGTCTAGGGAGACCTCGAACTGGTTCAACATAAGGGAGCAGTTCTAAGATTGCAATGAAAAGACCGTGTAAGGAGCTAGTAAATTTTCCATCACTAGAGTCATTTCAGTGATATAGTGTGATCTGGGACAAATAGCATAATGCAAGTGGTGATGTTGAAGTAGAACTTAAAAGAGTATACTGTAATAAGAAAGATAGTTCAATATCACACATGGTCTAGGAACTGGGGGGGGGGGATGGGCATGACAGAAGATCAATCTCGACAGAGCTCCTTTAATCATTATATATGATACGATTTTGAGAAGGGGAGAATCAAGAAAAAACAAGCTAAGCTAAATAAATAAATAAATAAATAAATAAATAAAGCTATGATTGCAGTGTTTGAGGGGAGGTGCCTTTACTCAACTTAATTGCATTATTGATTTGTGCTAGCAGGCATACATGCCAGGGGTTGGGAGCAGATGGAGAGCACCTCACCGGGATGCCTTATATATAAACTGGGGAGGACTCATTGTGAGTCACTTACCAGAAGACCATTTTTCTGGAAAGAGTCCAGCAGTTCCTACTGAAATCCCGTGCCCCTTGACTAGGAACCAAACCTAATGGCCTCAGCGGAGCACACTGTTCAGTGGCAAGTTCCCCTCGCTGAGATCAGGAGCAGGGTCAGTCCCTGAGCGTGCATCCAGATGCTGAAAACCAGGGGCGGAGTTCACCCACGCTGGTCTAAGAAGAAATGGAATTCCACGAGGAGATAGAAAAGAGTCCACTTCACAAGTTCAATGCCTTCTAAGAAGAAAGAGACTGGTTTATCTCTATTGCCAGTAGGTGTCAAAGAGAAAAAAAAAAATGGGGTTAAGTGACAGCCAAAGATGTTGGGTTAGGCCAGGAAAGGATTTCTTCATTATAAAAATTAGTTTGATTCTGTCTCAGATTCCTGGGCGCCTTCGGCATATACCACTTAGGTTATATGCGTGAAATCAGGGTTCAAATAAATACCTTGGAGATTGTACCTTCCTCATTACCCTCAATACCTTCCTCATTGTTTTTGACATGCTAGTACTCCAGCTCTATCTGATAGAGTAGATCACTCTAACATAAGGAACACTGTTTGTATTCCTTCCCAAAACTGAGGATTCCATAAAATCATGCATGGGAAATTTTAGCCAAGAGGTGTGAAGGAGAAGAGCCATAAATCACAAGCCAAATCTATTCACGAGGGTCCCGAATAACCTCTGCTACATCCTCAGAAATGCTTGGAATTCAGTAACGTGTGTGTGTGTGTGTGTGTGTGTGTGTGTGTGTGTGTGTATGGTGGAGAGGAAGAAGAAGGATAGTGGGAGCTTTTACAGATTTTACAACCACATCCCTCAAAATTCTAATCTACCTCCTTGCAAAGAAGACAGGCATGGGAGGGGAGGAAAGAACTGGGGTGAGCATCCATGCATACAGAGAGATGACCCTCATTGGACAGAGTTACAACTGATAAAAGATGCACTTTTATCTATCTATCTATTTATCTATCTATCTATCTATCTATCTATCATCTATTTATTTAAAGCATGAGTTGGGGAGGGGAGAGAAGGAGAGGTAGTCTCAAACAGGCTCCATTAGGTCAGTGAGCAGAGCCTGACATGGGGCTCAAACCCACAAAGAGTGAGATCACGACCTGAGCCAAAGTCAGATGCTTAACCTGCTGAGCCATGCAGACACTCTGAAAAGATGCACTTTTAGAACTGTGGCCCTATGGAATGGCATCAGCTACTTGCGAGTTAAGAAGGGCTGAGGCTATTGAGAGGGAGTGATAATCTCAGAGGATTTGGTCTCAACAGGAGAGTCTATAGTTCCAGGAGAGCTGCGGGGTGGCTGTGTATAATCCTCCATGGCTCCCACCGCCCTAATTTCCCCAAGAATCTCCTATCTGTCAGATAATAAAGGAGGTGGGTACCATGGAGAAAGAAGCAAAATGTCCATCAAGTAACTTAGTTAGGGCTGCTCTGGGGGACCCTAGGTTGTCTACGGACTATTTTCCAGGCTAACAACTTCTACTGAGCTTCCCTTTGGCAAAAGGAAATAGTAGAGAGGTTTCATAGAGTATCTAACTGTGACATTGTTCTTGAAAAAAAAGAATGAACAATCCTTTGGGGAAGAAAAGTCACAGGTAGACTAAATGGAATTAGCACCATATACAAAATGTAACTACCTTTTTTTTTTCCATGGAACATCCTGGCTTAGCAAAAAAAATGTATTGTGAGTGAAATTCATGGCCATTTCCAACATCATCCACAATCCTCAATGTTCTTTATGTTTATTAAACATCCTTGGCCGCTAAGAGAGCCGGAAGAGACAGAAAAATAAGAAGTGTGCTCTTGCTCGAAAATGGATTTGAAAGGGTGGAAGAGATCCCAAAACTAATGATCATCTGCATCATTTTGCTTCTGGGTTCAAGAGCCTGAATTACTGCCTGTTCTCAAGATCGTGGCCAAAGTGTTTATTAGTTTGGGCCGGCGCGGGTGCCCTGACTAAGATGTTTCTTGAATGCCAAGGAGTACAGTGGCCTGTGCACAATCCAGTCCTCACTCATTATTCCTAGAAAATTCCTGCAATCACCTCAAGGGCCCTTGGTTTTCTCAGCCCGGCAGCGATGATTCTCTTGTTCTCTCAAGAGTCAGATCTCCAGAGTGCGACCTGCTGCCCGTGGCTGCCAGACGGGGTGGGCGCAGACTGCGAGTCACGTTGGTAAAAGTGTGGGTCCCTTGGTAAGCAGACCAGAC